GGCATGGCTCCAGCCTCCAAAGTCGGCTGAAGACAGAGTTCGACGAGGTGATGCAGAGCAGTATGCAGCGGCGTTTGTCGCGGTTACGGGAAGAGGTGGATGCGCTTTGCAGTACATTGCAGCCTCGTGGTACTACACCCAATGGTTGCGATAGCCATCGACAGGTGGCAAACATGTCGAAAGCATCTGCAACAGCTTCGCCAGACACGAAATCACTGTGTGAGACGGTTGCCAAAGCTTTGCGCCGTGCCAACCGGTTCCGTGGCTAAACTTGTTAGCTCGTAGCGGGCTGAGAAACCCCAGCGCAACCGCACGAACCAGCTGCAATTGAAACCGTTATCTTATCAGCTACGATGCTCATATCGCAGGTGCGCGCTGGAGCAGACGAAGCAGTGTCCATGACTCCATTGCGAAGTTCTTTTCAATCCACTGTTTATGCAGATTTCGGATTTGTTAGGCACAACCGACTCCAAGTATCCTCCCGCACTCGGCGCATGCAATGCTGAAGCTGAGGTATGGCCCTTCAGAGCAGCAGGTGACAAAGGCAGACCCACCAGAGAAGGATGAAGGCGGCACGGAGTTACAGGTTTTCTCACTTGTGATGGAGTCATCGTTTGTTTCGTGTTGCCCTTGTTTGTCTTGTGGTTGTGGTGATTGCGATAAGCATGCCCCGAGTGAGCAGGTAGGGTGTTGCTGTTTGCGGTGGTCAAAAGAGGGTCGGGATCGCTTTCTTGTAGAAAACAGTGGTCGGTCTGTTTGTCATGGTGGTATTACATTCATTGCTCAAGATCAGTTTGAAAGCTTCTTGTCACTGACAAAAGTAGCTCACACCGATTCCATATTCCATATCGGTTTGGTCTTGTCGGCCATCCTTGGGCCAAGACTAAACTAAGGTCTACAAAGCTATGTTTAGCGAGTGTGACGTGCAACTGCTCATCTAGCCGCGGTTGCAATGTTCGCATCCCATTTTAACGAGCCCCGCAGACGGGAAAGACAAAGACAAGCCCCGTAGCCACTCCCCAAATGCGATTGACAGAAAGTGGTGGTGCCGCTACCCACTTAAATCAAAGCATATGATGGTCATGGTTTCGAGTTCGTGAGTGGTTTGTGAGTTGCGAAGCTTGGGGGCAAGTGCTCGGACATCGGACGTGTGTTTGCAGGCCTTGTCATGGAGGGCACTACCTTGCGCTCTTCACTGTCCAGTCTGGAACAGTCGCTGGCCTCACGGGTCAAGCAGCCGCATGCCGTGAATAAAACGTACAGTAGCTGTTGAGTGGCTGGACAGTTTATGATTCACGATCCGCATTTCTCGATGAGGATTGGCCACTTAACTGAACAGCTGCTTGGCATGCAAAGCTTGGAGATGCCTCAGTCCTGAGCCTGAGAGTCTATCCCGCTATTGTTGGCTAGGCCCCCTACCGTCCCTAACTGCAGTTGAGGTTGAAGGCGTGCGAGGCAACCCGAGAAGAGAGGGCACGACAGGCGGAGGAGGCCAAATCGAGACTCGGCCGTGACGAAAGTCGAGTCGGTTTGTGGGTTAAAGGCGACATGCTGTGCGGGCACATATCGCTGTGCCGATGCACGGAGATATTGACATTGCTGAGAGAACCAAGATAAACCAAAGCGCATCTTTCAGCTCATTCAAAGCCTAATTGTGAAGTTACGCTGCCTACCTGATGACCAGGAAGAGCTCCATGCTCTCCGGTGACCTGAGCCTGCTTTTGAAGATTTGCCAGTTTCACCTTGAGACGAGGCACGGGCCGACGGGCTACAGAAAGATAAACCCAATTGCGAGATGGAGTGACAAAGTGAGCGAAGGACGGAGGGAGGGAGGGAAGAGTAGCATCTGGCGTCTGATCTTGTTCCGAACGCAAGGCGCGAGCGAGTGGAGCAAATGAGCAAGGACGGCGGGCTTTTAGTGATCCTAGTTTTGCTTCCGCATGATCACCTGCTCTGAGAAATCCGTGCTAGATTCTGCTGGTGCATGCTGTCGCTTGATCTGTGTTTTACTCGACCGTAAGACAGGACACCGCATTCCAAAAGCAGCAGGCGCACCTCGGTTAAGGCTTTGGACCCGAAGCGCGATAGGCTGCACCACTCCCTGAAAGCCTGAAGCCTCGACTCTTCCAACAAGTACACGTATTTGAATGATTTGAATGTGACGCGGCTTTCCGAGCCCAGATTTGACGTAACGCGAACTTCTCGGCAGCTTTTGAAAAGCCCCCGGCAGCCCAAACTGCAGCTCAGGAAGTACTATAAGTCTTTGGCGCACCAGCAGCGGGCTTTCTACCTCCAGTCCGAAAGGATTTCGGCTCCGCGGCCTCAAAGTCAACGATCGCGAGAACCGGATGTAACCGCGCATAAGCATGTTGCAGCAAGAGCAAATCTTGCATCTTCAAAGAGGAAAGTGTAAGGCTTGGTCGCGTGGGTAATTGCTTGCTTTGGGCTGACGCATCTCGGATCTGGGCGCGTGACAGCACTGCCCAGCGAGGCATGTGGTGGGAAAGATGCCATTGCCCGACACAAGGCGGGCGAGTTGGCTTTGGTGGCGCAGCCAGCTACCTTGGAGGACTTGCTGTGTTGGCTCAGGGCACATTGTTCGACCAACGTCCTAGGTCCTAGGAATCACCCGAAGCTGACTCGACGGAGAGGCTGAGATTCCGGAGCTGGTCAGGGGTCCAACAGTGCATCTTTTCAGCCATGCAATGCATTGCAAGTACCCATGTTCTGGTAAACATACAATTGCAACGGATCCCAGCCGAGCCCTCCGAATTCTTGTAGACTTCCTAAATCGAATGCAAGTTTCAATTCTTGCAAGGACGACAACACCCAGGAGCTCTTTGACGTGGGCACAGCTGTCGCAAACCCCTACGTGTGCCTTTGACGGGAAAGGGTCCCCTGTGATCTTTTCAAGTTCTTGGTGCCGGCAGCAGCAGCGGTAGGGCCGGTCCAGTACCGAGTTGTTGGCTAACGCAAGAGCCTCAGGTGTGATTCGTGGCCCTTCGAGCCAAACGTGCTCGCAAAGCGGACGCCGCAGGAGTCTGCAATGCCAGCGTGACTTGGCCGAGGAAATGACTGGGATTCGGGCCGCGGGTTCAGGATGGGAGTCGCTTACTCACTAAGTGATTGTGGTCAAGTGTTCGTTTTGGCGGAGTCGCAGCAGGCCAGTTGCAAAAAGGATGCAGTGAAGCATGCAGATAGGCAGACGAGCAGGAGCTTCAAAGCTGCAGAGTGCTGGGGGCTTTAAGTCGATGCCAGAAGCCCAAACGAACAGTATCAGAGCGTGCAGAGCTCGAGAGGTTTGAAGAGGAGACCGAGGAGGATCTCCGAGAGGCGTCTTTTCCACTTAGGCCTAGGCCTTCAAAGGCTACTTGGTCAGGCCTTCGGCGGCGGTTTTTCCGGGGTGTCAATGGAACACAGTTGTGCAGTATCAATGAGAGTGTGGTTTGCGGATCTCACTCTTCAGATCCTCGGAGCACTACGGTCTTCCACGTGCGTGGCTTGCGACAGACTTTGTGTTGAGCGCCACATGACATCCCAAAGCTCCGACAAGCAATTCGTCCCAGCTGGATAGGCAGAACGGGGCTTCCGGACGAACCCTTTCCGCGGTGCCGGTGCGCGCGGCTTCAACCGCGGCTTCGACGATGACGATGCCGCCTGGCAAGGAACAAGCAATGACAAGCAGGCAGGAAGGTTTAACAAGCCTTTGGTGAAGATGAGCAAATTCCTGTCTGCGGCTGTCTGCGAGATTGTTGCCGCGCTCTGCTCAGGACTACGACCGTCGGCCGAGCAGCGCGAGAAGCCTCTGAGCTCGCAAATGCTCGTGGCATCCAAGAGGCTGTCAGGAGATGTCAGGAGGAGGAGGGTCCGGGTGGTGTGTGATGTTGCGCATAGACCGCACTGCAAGCGCAGTGCTGCGAGCATTTGCGGGCCGCAACTTTTGGGAACTCTTGGGTTCCCTTGGTGTGGCCCTAGGGCTTGAGGTGTAAGTGAGGAGGCTGAGCAACCTACAGCCAGTTCAAAGTCTCATACCAAGCCGATGCTCGATCTGCTCAGCCCCTCGAAGCCAGGGACATTTCATGATGCGCCCTCATCAGGCACATAGATGCCCAGAGGCTTCGGCAGCTTGGAGATCGTTGAGTAGGTGTCTCGTTACACATAAGAACGTAAGGTTCCGAGGAGAAGGATAAGGTCCGGGAGTAGTCTATCGTTGTATGCAGTGCAAAAGGACATGCCAAGCTCAAGTTTGAGCTTGAGCCTCTGAATCCGAAACCGCGATGGAATTCGGTTCAATGATTTACTTAACGACGACAGGAACGTCTGCAGCCGTGGCAAAACTTTGGCATGCCTGCTTCATCCCAACGGCACTGGGTCCAGTGCATGACAGCTTCCATGAAGGCCAGTTGATGTGAGGCGACAGAACCTAGTGGCCGATTCTTTTGGATTAGTTTCAGCGGATCGCATCAGCGCCTGGATCCGAAGCAAGCTTTTGGCTCACAGCTGGCTCCAGCAACCGCAGTGCCAACTTCGTTTTGCACGTTTCTCAGCAGTCACCAGGAAATCGCTCCATATTAGTGTTTCCGTGGTGATTGCACACAAGCCGCGAGCTGCGGCGGCGCGGTGCTTCAGGCTGGGGCACCTCGACAGGTCGCTTTCTCCCTGCTTCCGGATTTACTGCATACTACAGAATATATCGATTTCGGATGGCTCCACGGTCTTGGAATTCGGGGTTAGAGGTTCGCAGCTCGTTTTTGGAGGGTTGGTCACAGAAGGCCGGTTGGGTTCTTGCTTATTCTCGGTGCACCTCCTGGCAGGCGCGGGGCTCTGAGTTCGACTGTAGATGTGGCATCATAAGCTGTTTTCTGAACCCCTTAAACCCTTATGCCTGTTTGAGGCCTGATTTACTGACTCGAAATTTCGGAAAACGCCACCGCAGTGATTGCCTAGTTCCAAAACAAGCATGAAATTAGGGCTCCATAAGCAGTGGTTTCACCAACCCCATGGGAGCTAGCTGGAGCTGCGAAGAACACCCGGGATGTTGGGAAGGTGCCTCGGAAACATCCAGAAAGGGTGTGGAGTTCAGATGAATTCAGAAGGAGTGCCGTAGGGTTTGGGCTGCTTTTATGGTGTCCATGATGCGCGTTCCGGCAGCGGTGAACATTCTTGCTTGCGCCGCTAATAACGGACGGAGAAACAAAAAGCAGGATGCCCTCACAAGCTCCACCAATCAATCCTGGAAGACTCTGAGCCTGATCGCATGTGCAGCAACAGAGGCCCCCCATCGCATGCTGAGCCCCGCATGAGTGCGTATCCAATGAAAGAGAAAAGAACCTCCTGACAGAGCAGGTTGGGGATGCAAGCCGTTGGGGACCAAGCGCTCGCTGAGCCCTGCCCCGAGCCTGCTAAGGAGACGAGGTAAAGCCCGGGGCCGTGTCGGCCACCTTGGATGTCCTTGACGATATCGTCAGCACGCACTCCCAGGCGCTGAGGGTAATGTCTGCTCCCGTTGCCAGCCGAGATCCCAAAACTCTCGACTCTAGTACCCTTTGGCTCCCAATGGCCGAGGACTCGCACCGTTCCCCAGGATCGGACGAATCGGAGGCAGGCAAGCGGTGTAGCCACCAGAGCGCAGTGCCCGCCGAGGAGCTGGAGGCGAGCCACCCAACTAGGGTCTGAGAGTCTGAAAGAGTCCAAGTCTGGGTCGGCAAATGGAGCAAAGGTGAAGGGTTGAAGACAAGGGTTTTGGCCACCCTGGGCCCTTGCACGGCGTTGTCCAGTTTGAGGTTTGCCTGTCAGGTGACAGTGTAGGGTGGGTGTCACCTGTTATCAATCACGTAATGGTGGTGCTTCCTCGTCACGGTATCCCTACAGTTCGTGGTCAACTTCGCGGCGACACATTCTCAAAGCGGTGTGCTCCGCGGTTCGTGCTCCTCGTTGTTGTTCTTTTGCGTAGTTTTTGCCGTGAACCTTAAGCCTTCGGGCCCCAGGTGATGCCCATTGTAGGCCCTGCTCAATCCGCTTTGGGCTGTTGCCTGTGGTTCTGGCCCGAATTTCATCGGCAGCCTCGGCCTGCGCCCCCAGTGTTCAATACGACGTGGCATTGACAGTCTGACAGTCTGACAGGTAGATATGAATCTCATGCGCGGGCTTTCTCTGCGTCAGTCCCTGCGCACGTTTGGGATCCTCTGGTTGCCTGGCTATGGACAGGTCTTGAAGCTCAAAAGCCTGCCTGAGTGCTCCTCTACCAGCCCAAGCCATCCAGGTTGGTTTCGCCGGAGACGCGCTATCCGTGCCGCGTGGAGACCCATCCCGTTCCGAAGTTCGATGTCTTCGTTTCCCACACCTGGAAGCTTGGGGAGTGCGTGTGCAAGTGTGTGTGTGTGTGTGTCTGGGGGGTTGCAGTCTCCGCTTTGATTGAGGAGGGTTTTCCTTTTCCGGTTATGATGGGCGACCTTTCCGAGAGTTTTTTCGAAGATTCGAAAAAACTGAATTCTTGAATCCTTGCGGGCCTAAGCTTGCCACCAGGCCCCGCCCCCCGACCGTTCCCAACAGCTCAGCCAAGGAAGACGCCAGGGAGGTGGAAGATCTTGTGTCTGATGCATTTCTGCAGGAACCATGCTTCGTTTTCTTCTGTCCGGCGGAATGCATTCGTTAGCTTCCCGTTTTATACCGCTCAGGTACCAAACGGGCTGGGAGCTTGCGTTTTTCCTGCAGACCTTGGTCGCCACTGTCCTCTTGGTACTGGGCTTGAACGGGACTCTGCCGCTTCCAACGACCACCACCATCGTGGGCATCCCGCCAGAGCAGTATCCAGCCCGCAAGGAAAGCAACACTTTGGGGATTAGAGCCTAGATCCTCAGGAAAATATCACTCGCAAGATGTCAAGCAGAGCCAAGACTTCTTCAAGGCTTCGCACTGGCAGTCAAGGTACGAAGCTTCGCCGTGGCTCTGTGAGAAAATTTGTCGGTCTGGTCGGTCTCGGAATGCTGATTCCCAACGTGCGAATTTCGCGCCCTTGCATTGCGAGACTCTTGATGATGGCGCGGCAGAGAGAGAGAGAGAGAGAGAGAGAGAGAGAGAGAGATAGAGAGAGAAAGAATGTGCGAATTTTCAATCCAAGATTTTGGCCCTATATAAATCCTTGAGCCTCCGCTTTTTTGTCGTGCTTTGCAGGGGCCTGTGACGTGCAGATTCTTTGTTTGGCTTGAAACCTCTGGGGCTGAGTGCTGATGACCACATGCGCCAGTGACGTGGAGTTCGCGCGTTGTTGTGAGAATGAGCATTGAAGCCACGAGCCCTTGCCTACTGGTATGCGGCAATCGTGGGTTGCGCAGTAAAGCAAAGCAAGCTCAGGTGGATGCGGGCCAGTAGTCTTCCAACTATGATCCTCGGCTTGTGCATCGCGCCCTACGTCGGAGACTGGTTCAACAAGCAGGTGCCACCCAAACCTCTGCTCTGTAGAATGCAGAAAGTGGCCTGTGCAGCAGCTCCAAACCCGAAGAGCACATAAGAAGCATATGTTTCATGGCAGCGCAGGTTGCCTTTGTTGATATGGCCAGCATCGACCAGACCGATCCGGTGCAGAAGGAGCAGGGCATCTCTCACATTGCAGGTTTCCTCAAGAAGTCCGAAGAGCTGCAGGTCATGTGGTCGGTGGACTATCTTTCTCGTCTGTGGCATGCTTAGAGGGCCAATTGGTGTCCATGTTAATCAGGAGCACAAGCGCAAACAGAGACAACAACAGTAGCTTGTGCAACTTTCGCTGGCCTATTGCAGCAAGCACGAATGGGTGGCCACAAGTCACAAGCGGCGGTAATCGGAGGTGGGTGGCCTTAGATCAGTAGGTTCAGCTGCGCGGTTTCCCAGTTGGTTGTCTGACGCCCAAGGTGGTGTGTGTTCGAGCTGGCTGCTTACCGCACAGCAAATCCGTCAGGAAAAATCACGTTGATGCCTTTGTTCGTGGAGAAGACCTTCGCAGTGCTGATTGTAGCAGTCTATGGTTTTACTTCGGTGTGGGTATTGGCGGAGGCAAAGTTTATACCTCTTGGCTCAGAGGTGTGGATATTCGGTGTCGCCTTGATCCCAGTTGGCCTTGCTGCGCATGCTCTCCGAAAGAGCTTCTTGTCGAAGCACCAGCTTCTGACGGCGCTGGCGAACTTCGAGCTTGAGAGTTCCACCTGCAGTTCTGACTTCGACAGGCGCTTTATACTCCGCTGCATCCGCAGATGGTATGGTGGGCCAGAGCAATTCGAAAGTTTTGTTCGCAGGGAGCTGCGGGAGGAGCTTCTCGCACAAATCAGGTCGACCAGCTTCCGATCTGGGCATCCTGGACGAATCCTCCACACATTTGCCGTTGCAGCGAGCGCACGAAAGAACAGGAACGACAGCTGTACAGCGCACACTAATCCAACACGTAATCGCTTCATCTGCACAGCTGCTCTTGCATCCGGTCTGCTAATACTCTAGTCCGGGAATTGTCCCATCGCCAACAGAGTGTCTTTTTTGGCCCCTCTGCGAGGGGCAGATTCTTGCGACTTTCGCTTATATGCCGTGAAATACCATGGACCAGAATCTAGAGGAAAGCAATACGTAGGGCAAAGATTTGTGTGATCTGAGAGCGCCCCCGGCAGTCGGACCTCCGAACACCTTGCGCTGTGATTCCCTCCCAGGTACTACCTTGTGACCGTGGTGCCATCCGTTTGCGCCGGCTTGGACAGCCTGGTGTGTCTCTGGAGACCGGGTTTAGCTTAGTTCTGCAAGAGTGTGTGTTGAACAGTCTTGTAACATGTACGGCTCAAGGCTAATTTTTGTATGAAGGAGAGGGCAAGCTCCGACTGCAGCTCTGGTGACACACTTCGTCTGCCTGGTGCTGGCCTTCGACATCTGTTGGATAGTGATCACCTTCAAGCTGCACGGCCGAAACCTAACTGAGCTAACTTCTCCCGAGATACCTCCAAGCTCGGAGGCCCCAACCCGTCACTTGCAAGGCTTGTGCTGCTGCTCTCAGATGGCTCGGCGCAGCTGTGCTTGGGCCGCTTCCGCTTCTTCGATTACGCCATCTCCTTGCTAATCTTCGTGGCGAGCGGCGTGATTTTTATGGCCGGCCTCGTCGGGTCACGGCTTGCGCGGAATACCTTGAGCGCCTCAGACTCAAGCAGCACTTCTTGAGTCTGGAATCTTGGGCACCGTGAAGCATTGCGGTACACCAAAATCTCTGCAAGTTCAAGCAATTCCAAATCAAGCTCCTATTGGCGTCAAGCCCTACAAGCCCTACAGACCCAGAACATCCCAGAACCTGAGCTCTGAGCCCGGATGCCGAAACCCATGCCGAAAACCTACAGTAAACCTTGAAGGCGCCAAACTGCGGTACGAGTGTGCTCAAAATAAGCAGCAACTTGTTGGATGGTCAGCCCTGGCGTGTGCATCACTGTGAAGCCCTCAAGCCCCGTTCGTGCAGAAGCGCATCACGAGGCGTTTCAACGGCTCTCGGTTGGCTGGCCCTTTCGTGCATCCTCATGGCTCTCACTTCCGATCGTGTTTGGCGTCAGGTCAGAGACCTCCGAAGGAGGTCCTAGGTCTGATGCGGAAATGCTCATCCGAAATCCTGTGTGCTCCTTTCGGTCGCGAGATCACACAGCCGAAGCGGCAATGAGCGGAGTTAGTGGTTCATTTTTACCGACGCACGATGCATTACGATGCGCTTGGAGAGCTTGTGCTCGGGAATTCGCCTCAGAGCAGGAACTTTTTGTCCCCTCTTGATGCTTTCAAGACGACGGTTCCTTCTCTTATTTACTCGGTTATCACGGCCGCGGAAGTCGCAGCCCCAAATAGCCCTACACTGTGACTCAAGCCCTTCTAGTCAAGCATTCCCGACTTTCCATCGACAGCTGAGCGGGAGACCCAAAGCGAAAGCCTCAAGGGCTTCGAAAAAGCATCAGGAATCAGGCTGTTCGGGCTGACCCTGGGAGTGGTCGGTGCATTCGCAGCTCGCTGAAATCGTTTCTAGAGGGCTGGTGGACTGGCTTAGTATGAATGTCAGCCAAGGCCTGGGGCTTTAGGGCGCGGGGGTTCAGGATCCGAGGGTGCTTTAAGGCCCTGAGGCCCACGCGTGTTGGGGTATCATCTAGCGGCCCTACACCTCTCTCAGATGTGTGCAAGCCCCCGGGACAGCAGCTTTGCATACATTTTGGAGGTTGAGCTCAAGCCCCAGATACCCAGACGTCGTACAGTTCACACCGCTGCTTCCGGCCGACCTAGTGGGTGTTTTGGGCAGAAACCTTGTGCACAAAAGCCTGTCCTTCTTGTTTCCATGTCCTAAATGTTGGGATGAGCCTTGGAGTACTGAACTCACCAAACTCGCCTGTAAGCGAACATGTCATGTCGGCCATGCGCATGCCAGGAACTCTATGGGTTGAGAACACAGAGGCAGTCAGCCGCCCAGCCTGTGTCGAGGGGGAATGGGTTAGGAAGGCGGGCTGCAAAGATCCAGCGGATGGGCATTTACGTTGCAGCTTGTTTTCCTGAGGTTGGCCAGTAAGGCTTACTCGAGTTGTGCGGGCTATGCGGGCTCCAGCTTGTGGGGTGTCATCACTCCTTGCTTTGCTTTACGCATTGGATGCTGTTATGCCTATTGCCCGTCGTCGCGAAGATTTCCCAGAAAGAGTGATCGGGGGGAAGGGGTGTGGGGTATGGACAGCTACGTGTGTCTAGGTTGGGGTGTCAGCACGGGGACTCGAGCATGACGGTTTGGCGTGTAGGGGGTTGACCTTCTTTGTTCCAATTCTCCTCGCTTCTGTGCTTCCGGTCTTCCTCAGCCCGCTTTGGTCAGCGATCGCACCCGCAGCCCTCGTGGCACCAACAGCGTCGCCATGGAGCCTTGGCCATGAGAAGCAAAGTTTTGTAATGGGTTTCGGAGAGGCAACGGCCCAGTGGGAGGTGTTTTGAGGGGGCGCAGTGAGAGGATTTTGCCATGCCGAGATCTCTAGGTGTGTGCACTGCTGGAGGCACCGGCCTGGAAGCCCGAATCAAAGAGAGATTTCCATCCAGTTTGGCACAAAGCTGAGTCTTTTAGATTCTGCCCAAAACCCGACAGTCCTTGCTCTGGCTGAGAAGCGCTTCGACTTTCAGCCGAGGCACAGCCGGTGCCCGTGGCCTCGGGTGTCCCGGTCACGAAGTCGGCCGCCTATCCACCGAGGCCAGTAGCTGCACCGCAGGCGGGAGGGCGGGAGGGCGTGGCACATGACCATGGCCTTTAAGCTGCGGGGCACAACGCATTTTTGAGGGTGTGTGGAGCAACAAAGGCTTGCAAAACTCGTAAACGACCTTCTGGTTTGGGACGTGTTTCACGAAGACGGCGGCAGCTTTTCTTTTGTACATGCTCAGCCCATGACGTAACACAAGGTTCTAAGAGTTGAAAAGATACGCGGACTGCTGCAGCAGACGCAGGCCTAGATTGAGTGCTACACAGACCCGCCTGGACATGTCCGAGTGTGAGCATCAAAAACCAGAAACCGGCCTCATTGGAGGTTTTGCAGACCTTTGTCGACCGACTGGGCGTTGTACTGTTGTTTGGGCATCCAGGCATATGCTGTGCAGTAAGATGGAATATTTTCCCAGCTCAGTCAGGTCTACTACCGTCCCGGCACCGTCGCCGCCCCGGCAACCGTTACCTATGCTGCACCTGCTGGGACGCCGCTAGGGCAGCCGGCGGCGGTTCGTTCCGTGGTGACAATGGCGCCCACTCCGGTGCAGGGCTCAGATGGCTGAGCGCGGGATTGCGCATTTCAACCTTTCGTTAGGAGTCTAAGGCATGTAGAAAGTCAATAACCTTGTGAAGCCGTAGGTTCATGCGTCCGATATTCGCGGGGCTACCCGTCCCATCGTCAAGTATTCCAAGACCTCGAAAGTGCAGAGCCCTTGTGAAGGTGAGCCACGTTACTTGGCCAAGACCTCTGTCCAAAATTAGGAGTTGTCTTCGGCCGTCCATGCATGTGTGCATCCAAGCCCCCAGCGAAAACCCATCAATCTTCCGGCCTTGTTGGCAACTTTGTTATCGCAACCGATTCCTGGTGCTTCCGTTGCAAACCGACAGCGATTCTGGAGATCCAGCAGCAGAGCGTTTCTAGAGTACTTGGCGTGGACTGACACTGCGACTTCCAGAAGAACAATCCTCCGGGAGCCTCTCAGGTGGCCACTTCCGTGACTTCGGCACCCCTCTCCGTCTCCACTCGCACGCTCGGCCAAGCCGTTCGGCACCAAACAGAGCAGGACCTCAGTTTTGGGCTGTGTTTGGTTTTCTGTTGCTTGCCCTTCTTGTCCGCGGAGTGAGAGCACTTGCAAAAGTCACGAATCCTCACTTCCCCCAGAAAAAGATTTTTTGGAACTTTGAGCCCTGCATCGCTGAGGTTGGCGTGCCGCAGGTTGCCACGGCTCTTCCTCCAGGGGCACGGATTATCCGCACCTCTCAGCCCACAGTGGTGCCGGGCGCACAGGTCGTCCCGGCGTCTGCGACAAGGCGCAGACAGGAGAGTGAGTTGTGATCTGCATAGTGCCCGGATTACCTTGGGTCTTGAACCTTAAGCAGCTTGGAGGCTGGGGCTTTTGGGGCTCAGGTTCAGGGCCGGCTTTGCTGAGGACATCCCCTAAAAGTGGTGTCGGCAACAGCGTAGTCCTGTACCTGGGCCTGCCGTCCCCGCATGAACCCCGCACTGCAGTTAGTTTCGGGGTCACAGATGCTTTTGGGTTTCCGGAGCGAGGGCTCATCCGTGAGGCCCAACACGGTGGGCGGACCAGCCTACTCTCAAAGTGCCTATGCTCCTCGGCAGCTCTCTTAAGTTGGCTTCTGCGGCCGTCTTCCCGTGACCGCTTTGCGCTCGCGACATTGGGAAACAACGACCAGAAGCAGCTACTGGTATTGCTCGCAAGTTTCAGCACAAAAACCTTCAAGCTTGCATTCATTCCAGCGAGGAAACTAAGCACGAGAAGGATGCGCAACTGCAGAACCTGATTCTCGGCTCTCCCCATGGCATTGGCTTGGGAAGCGTTTGGCCATAAAGTCCAGCTACAGTAACTAAGAGCAATATTCGCTTCACTCAGACCAGCTGCACCGAAAGCTGGGGGCTGTGCGTGTTGGAGCACGGATTAGTGGATTCTTGCCGACTGTGCTGTCGCAATGAGCTCCACGTCAACGCACACATCATCCAAGGAAGGAGCTCAGGAAAACGTGTGGGCTCAAGGAGATTCCTGTTCATGATGGCTTGCAGGCAGGCCTGTGACCAAAGCTTACAAGATTTGCGACTGTAATGGAACAGCCCAGCCATGCAGCCGATGATTTTAAGCTTGATTTTTCAAGCGCAAAAGACACCGCAGAGGCATTCAAGAGCGCGGCCGCAACCATGGACCAGGACCAGGAGCCTCTCAACTTCTTGGTCGCAGAGGTTGGATGAAAATCATCGAGTTCAAGATTCACCCGCTTTGCGGATTTGATTTGGCTGTGTGCTTGTGGATATCCAATGCGCAGTGTAGATGTTTGTACGGTATGTATGCATGTATGTATGTATGAATGCATGCAGAAATACATATGATTATATATACAATATATATATATATATATACATATGTACACATTTGCACGTGCGCATGTGTATCTTGAGTGGGTGCATCTGTTGCGGCGCTTACGGAGGGCGATGTGGGAGTAAGCTCTGGCATCAAAGGGAATGTCCTTCTTTCAATCTGCATAGACAGCAGTGTGTGGAATGCCAGAACTCCATCTTGAAAGATTGTGGATAGCTTCGCAGAGCACATGTCCCTTTCCAGCATACAGCACGCACAGCAGAAGCCCACAACAAACACCATGGTTTAGTACTGCAGTGTGAAATTGAGAGGTAGTTAAGCAGCATGACATACCAAGAGATGCTGTTGAGGGTGGTGTTGGGTTTGTTCCTTGCTCCACACTGTCGTTGGATGGTTGAATTGAGTTGTGTGGAAGCATGGGATTGGACAGGTTGAACTCAAAGCCAGGCGCAGCCCAGAGCTGAGGCAGACGACCAAGCTGACTCGCGACAAGTTCCTTGGGGCATATGCGCAGCTGCTGATCGACCACAAGGCTATGTCAATGTTTTTGGGCTTCAAAGGTTCAGTGCTGGTCGTTTCTCTAGTTTGGGAAGTGCACGCGTGTGTGCGCGTGTGCGCGCGTGCACGTGTGTGTGTTTGTCGAGTCCGGGGCCGTTCATTAGCACTGATGCCAAGCTGATAATGATAAGATGTCCATGTCGTGTCAGGTCGACGTGCCCAAGGATGAGGTGAAGCACGCGGTCTTCGACCTGTTCGACCGCGACGACAATAACATCGTAGCCGCTGAGACTGACCTTTCCGGGGTACCAAGCTCCGAGGAGTCGTGCTAGATGAGGCTACTTGTAGCAGATAGAAGTTGCTCATGACTGCTGCATAGCCCTTGAGCACTAATCTGTCAGGCTTCTTCCGTTTTCGTGGCTCATCATGTTTTTCAGCCAAGAAGCGGCCCCCTGAACCGACCCAGGATATGATGGAGCTGGTCTGTGGGATCTCGCTTCTTTGCAAGGGCTCCGAGGAGTCCCTCAGAGGTAGTTTGAAATAGAGATTCAGGTTGATTCAGGTTGAATGGAAAGCGCTGTCCTTGCGAATTCTTAAGGGGTAGGGCTCGCCAGCTGTACTACCATCGCCAGGAGGACAAGATCCAGGCGGTCTTCAAAGTTTTCGACGAGAATGACGACGGTTCCTGGAAAAGCAGTCCAACCCTGGCATTGGTTTGCGCATGATGCGGGGTTGGTAAGCCGTTGTTGTTGTTGGTGGTGGTGGGTTCGTGGAGGTGAGTAGCGGTTCGCGGTGGTCCGTCGTGATTGGTGGCGGTTCCCGGCTCGTGGTGGTTCGCACGAATCCCGAGTCAATACAAAAGCTTGTCACAAAACATCACACAACCATTGTACCACCAAGCTGAAATCCTTCAGCACCGCTCCAACTCAGGGGTGGGATTGGTTGAAGGGTGGTCCAGTTGTTGAGTTGACCGTGCAGGCTTCATCTCCATGGACGAAATGTACAAGTTCCTAACCTCGGTATTCAAGGTTGTCCTCACGCCCGCCGCTCGTCTCTGGCTGTCCGCGTGTGGCTGCAACAGAGGGCCTGAAGTTTCTCACGGTTGTTGTGCTAACACCGGAAATCCAGCGCCCAAGATGGAGTGGCCCTGAGGCTGTGATTGGCGCCATGAACAGCATGGGTGTGAGCGTGGAGTCGGCAGAGGCACTCCCCCGGCCGGAGCTAAACCGGAAACCTAGCCTTTACTTGTAATATGGTTCCAGCACTTTTGATCTTTGCCCGCCTTGATTGCAAGACCAGGGTCAAGCACTCCATCCCCTGCCTAATGGCCGATTTGTCGGGATCACTGCAGGCCCTTCACGACAATGTACATGAGCTGTCCAATTCCGAGCCGCACTACAAAGCTCGATGTTGTTGCTTTCAGTCCTTTGATACTAACCGAAACGGTCGGATTTGTTTTCCAGAAAGATGACCTTGTCCCTGTCCGCTGGAGGACTTGGCATCGGTGACGGCCTTGGAATGCTTCAAGTCAGCTGACTTGTCGCCCAGCTGCCCTGGCACGAAGTTATAGCGTAGCGACGGTGTTCGATTCGAGGGTTTCCGTGGTTGCTGGTGAAACCCTTACAGTAGCGCCTGGCCGCCTCTAGAGTCTAGAGCTCATCGGGCGTTCTCATGTGTCTTGGCCTGACCGTGCCGAGGGTTACGGGCACCACCTCATTCGCACCTCATAAACTTGGGCCCACAGCGGCGGAATCCCACGAATCCAGAATCGGCCTACTGAACCAGGCACAGCCTTAAGCCCCGAAACCACAAAACCAAGCCAAGACCGTCAATCCTAGTCCTAATCATGTAACCCAGGGCCCGGAGAGGCCAAAGCCATATTCAAGACTCCCAAGGAATCACGATGGCCGCCTCTCTATAGATGAGCCATTGGGCAGCAACATTTTTTTGTTGGAGTTTGCCGTTTCGCAAGGCCTGCCTTTTTGGTCGGCTGTATCGCTTGGTCAGTGAACAGGTTCATGTATGGCTTGGCTTCCCTTGGCGGTCTTGCGCAGTTACGCACTGTGTAGCTAGTGGTTATGTATGGCACACGAATCCCTTCCTTGCAGGAGCCAGGCAAACCCACATGGCCTTGAACCCCGGCACCACCACAGCATCGAGCATCCGCCAAGGTTCAAGACATGGTTCTACGGGCCACGGAATGACCCGGCATTTATGTTTTCACCCGTGCGGAAACTGCTCCAATGAGGACAGCAAGCCACCTTCAGCTGCGCAGGGTTCAGTTGGGGCGGGACTCTGGAGCAGTCTTGGTCGGCACCAAACCTCAACAGTTGCCGGAGTATTATAGGAGTCGCCTCGTCCGAAGCGATTTGGTTTGGCATTATGCTTCCTCCAAGTCACGTCGGGGGACCAGTTCAGTTAGTCACTAAGGTTGTGTGGCCATGACAACATGTCTAGATGAAGGTCAATAAAGGCCGGAGTCTATCCACTGGAGGAATCGATCTGAAGGAAAGCGACAGCTGGAGTTTTGTGCTGTCGAGCAGGCTGCACGCAAACACGTGCAGGACAATTTTTCGTGACCATGCAGCTGAGCTCGACTTTCCTCGTGTTTCCCGTCAAATCGAAACAGACTTCGAAGAGTAGATATGATTCTCCTATATTCTTCTGACCCTGGCAAGTTTGATTCTGCACCGGTCACGTTACATGAGCCGTCGGTTCAGGCTCCGAGCGCGTGCAGCATCCCAGCCCCCCAAATCTCACAAAACCCTTCGTTATGCTGGAGCTCCGGATCCAGGTTGTTGGATTGAGCATGTTGTGATTGCTCAGTCTTCAAGGTGTTTGGGAGTGTCGTTCTAGGATTTGGATTCCGGCCCGAACCCCAAAGCCTGCCAAACCTGCCCCCATACCAAGACTCTGAACTCTGAGTTTCACTGTGCGACGCGGAGATGAAATTTGCACAGGGCCACAAGGCAAGGAATTGCTGTCAGGGCATTTCCCATGCAGGGTAGGACAGGATCTTGATTGTGTTTCTTTGTGGAGCAAGCAGATTCCTCGATCTACGATTTCCTTTCGCAGAACAGGTGAATCCGTGTTCGGGATCCGCAGAGTTTTACAGTGCCGGGTATTGGGTTGACGGCTCTTAATTCACGGGTTCTTGTTAGGGGAGAGCCCCGATTCAGGAAAACAGCTGACAAATTCGGCAAACCGGGAAATACAACCGCCGATTCAGAGAACAGACTTGGAAAATGCTTAGGACCGTTTCAAAAAAGCTGCTGCTGCTGCTGCTTTCTCTGCTGGTGCAGCAGCTGCACAGCATTCTCTTGGGATTTGGGGTTGGCCACCAGCGATCCTCTGCTACGGCTACGGGCTGGGGTTTGCTAGGCAGCTTCAAGAGGCGCGGGATGGAGTCCAGATGCAAAGCAGCACAGAGATTGCCCCACAACGTTCAGGGGTTGCCGATAGTATCGTTTGGCGTAGTGGCGTAGCCCGGCTGGCCGGGGCGGGACTCATGTTTGGGGCGCAGGGTTGCCCTTATCTTATTCTGACATCAGCGCTTGGTTCTTGTTCTGCAGCCCAAGACATGAGACACCCGTTCTCCCACAATAAAATCAATCTAGAACCAGGAACTTTTTCGGGTGCAGGACAAGGGACTACAGGCTCGTCAGTGTGGTTCTCTCATATGGCGTGCTCGAAGTTTCGACACCTGAAAAAACACCCTGAAACAGTGAAGCCTGGTCCTTGCTGACCTCAGCCGGACGAGCTGTGGTAGATTTCCAGCAGCGAAAGCTGCCGGTCCGGCCTGGCGTACGGGGGCGGCCAAGAAAATACCCAGACGCGTTTGTTCTGCAAGTCTGCCGCCCCGGCTGCCAGAATCGCGGAATGTGTGGAGCTCCAGCCGAGGTTGGGTTTCAGTCTTCGGGGAGATGGTCAGGATGTTGGGCGAGCTTCACTTCTTGCAGGGTAAGGGTTGCACAGTGGTGCCTCTGCTTGGGCGATTTGAGGGTTCACACCGTCGAGGTCGCAATTTTTCTCCAGTGGTCAGTCAGCGGCTGTCAGCTAGAGCGCCACGTTCAAATTCGGACAAGAGAATCATGTGATCGGCCGCATCATCCGTCATAGAGCAGCAGCGGCTGCTGTACACTTGCAAACACTCTGATCTCACCCCCGATGCGGCCGAGTCGAGCACGCACTTTGTCTGCTCGCCAAAGACTCGGAAAATCCGTAGTTAACTATCACTTGCCGTCACTTGCCATCATGTTGAATATAGAAACATATCATCTTCAGCCTGACTTCTTGCTAGGGTTCATCTGAGCTTTGAAGCAGGCCTTAGCCTGGCGACGTTTCAGTTGCAATTACAGTCCGGACCTAGTGGCCGAAGCCAAAGTGAGAAGCCCTGAGAAAAAATGACGTGTTTGCTCCTTCAGTGCCTGGGCTGTGAGATGCTGTGAGAACCAGCATTTGGATGTTTTCATGTCTGCCAGGCTTCAGGCTTCAGCCTTGGACTCGGAGGCGCGAGCACCGGGCCCAGGGGCTTCCGAAGCGAGTGCATGCGAAGGTCTTATGCGGGGAGGAGCCTCAAACACCTCTTTTTTGGTTAAATGGATTGCCTGTAAAGCTTGTAAAGGTCTTTACAGGGCTTCAGGTTGTGAGCCTGCACATGTAAATGTAAATCTAGAGGCATTCAGACTCCAGAAAGTCATTGTCCTCGGACCCCGGACAAGCCATGACAAGGCCCCCAGGTCTGATGGAACCCTGGGAACCCTGCAACCTTGACGAGGCCATGTTGAACTGAAGCCCTTGTTGGGTCTGCACGAGGTCTCCGAGTCAAACCAAAGGATACATGATACATGTGTTGGCTGTGACCTTTAGCTGCAGCGCACTTGTCCCACGTGCTTCGTAACGCCTAAGCGCAGACCGTTTACAACAAGACCTGAACCTCAAGCGTAGGTCCCATAGCGAGTTCACGTGCTAAACTTGCGCCGAACCACAGTGTGTCTACGATGCGCGGCGTGCCACCTTTCAAAACAGGCAGCGCGAAGAGTTGGTGCAGAACGATCTTCTGTTGTGCAAGTTGTAAAGACCGATCCGGACCAGAAGGGTCACAGTCACATCATTGCTTCTTCCAACGCCTCAAAAGTCTTAGCCCCTCAAGCTCGAGCGCCAATCTCAAAGCCTCCAAGCTTGAACCTTGACCAGAACTAATCCACAAGTAAACCACGGCGGTAGCGCGATCGCTCCATGGCCCTCTTTCCGACGGCCACGCAGCAAGGGCTTGGCCTTCGGGTGCCTGAGCAGGGAATTGGAGGGTGTATTTGCAAAAGGCTTGGTTTCCAGGGTTCATGGCACAAAACGTCTTGAGCCTGGTGAGGTGTTTACCGTGAGAAGGTTTCACGAAGGGAACAGAATGTCCGGTCCCGACTGACATGGGGTGGTGGGGTGCGATGCGAGGTTCTCGTCTCTGGCTACCGCTAGCGACGGAGGATTTACTTGGAGACATAAATGGCCTTACAGGTTGTCGACTCGACAGCTTGAGAGCACTGAAGGAATGATTCGCAGGGTTCTAGACCCCATCGATGATTTCTCGTGGTGTTCTTGTAGAGCAGCCCATGACTAGGAATGCCGTGGTAGCCGATTCTGACCCAAGGATGGAGTTCTGCGGCCTGTGTGTGTGAGATCGTCGCTTCTTGGAGGACCGGTGGCCTCAAGGTTGGGAGTGTTATTCGCCTTCGAGCACGCGGGGTTTGGAAAAACTGACTTCGAATAATGAAGCCAGAACAGCCAGATGGCATGTGGCATGCTGGCCCAAGCATTGCTCCCGCTGAGCATCTACGGATAGCATTCGGAGCTCTAGCCTCGAAGTCTCCTGTTAGGGATACGCAGCACGCTTTTAGATCATGTTGGGCTTGGCGTGTGGAATTCATGATTAGAGATGCTGATCACCAGCCCATCTCCAGACTGAGCCAGTGCGCTAAGCCACGGAGCTTCAAAGCCCGACCAAGCCACATTGCAAGCGATCCGGAAAAGTCCTGCAAGGAAGCAGGGCGACCTTGTCGACCTTCCCAGAGGTCCTTCGAAGTGCCGTGCCACACGGCCGACGTTAAGGGGCTTGGGGGATTCTGGCAGGGGGAGATGCAAGCCGCCATCAGCATGCCTCTACACTGTCATGACCTGCGCATCGCCATGAAAATCCGCCACCGCCTCGTCGTTGTGGTCGCCGATTGCGGAGCAGTGGGGATTGTGGTGGGAGAGTCGCTACGGTTCGTCGTGAGAGGCCCTACGTCTCGGCAGCCGCGGCCTGGGCGGCGCTGCGACCGCTGCGACCGCTGCGACAGCGGCGCGGCGCCACGGAGAGCTCCCTCCGTCTCCGTGGCCTGGCCGTGCTAAGAATGTTTTCAGCTCGGACTGGGTTCCAAGGAGGTCTCGGGAGCAGGAGCCGAGCAGCACCTTTCCGACTGGTTTCCATAGCAGAGAACAGTCTGTGAAGCAGTCCCTTCCTCTCTGCGCCTGCGCAGCTTCTTAGCTTCGATGTTGTTTTGGGCCAGAATTTTTTGGTAATGTTTGTTGCAGTTTTTGTGCAGCTTCTGCTCCTCGGTGCTTTGCTCTGCTCTCTGCTTCGCATCAGGTGCCCGGAGCTTTCGTGTGGATGAAGTAAAGACGACAGAGCTCGAGGACTGCAGGCTGAGTTTGGGGCTGTCGGCTTTGATCTTCGGGACAAAGAAGGCTTTGCGCTTGTAGAGGCAGAGGTTCGAGGAGGTGATGCTTCTTAGTTTGCAAGATTACTTGGCCCGCTTGGGGCTGGGACCTAGGACCTTGTCTGCTGGAGTAAGAATGCTGAAGCGGGACCGCTTCGGAATTGTTTCATTTCTCCTCAAGTGAGTGCATGTCGGTGGCGGGGGTGCCTGCAGCAGCAGTTTTTGCCTCCGCGAGTTGGAGTTGCAGCTGTGCTGGTCTGTTCATTTTGATTCGGGCAAGATCCGCACGAGGAGGCACTGCGATTCCTCGGCTTCGACTCTTTCCCGAAGATGAAAAACCGACAAAGCTTAGCTCCTCGGATTCCCGGGGTTCAGTCGGAAATCGCGAAACGGTCTTGGAGCCCTGGAACCTGGTCTGCTCTCGCGTACGCTGACGATCTCACAAGTCTCCTCAGAATGCCCCACAGAGTTTGGCACAATTTTCAGGTCAAGTGGATCCGGGAGTGGCGTATCCCACATCAGATGCTGGAGGGTGCCCTCTCGGAGGTCCGTAAACTTCGCAAGGTGGGCTTCAGTGTTGGTGCCTGCATGTAGGCGTTCGATTGCCAAAGCCACCATGGCACGATTAAGATCAGCGTCAGAGCAGCAGCAGCAGCAGCAGCAGCAATTGGAGGAGGGGGAGGAGGAGGAGTGGGGTAGGAGTCGGAGTCGTCATCGTAGTAGTAGTCGTCGTAGCAGTAGTCGTCGTAGCAGTAGTCGTCGTCGTAGTCACAGACGCAGTCTCAGCTGCGGTCGTATGGTTGTTGCTGGCGGTACTCGCAGTGGCAGCGGTAACAGTATTGGTCGTGGTGGTGGTAGTGATAATGCTGACAGTGGTGGTAGCAGCAGCAGTAGTACTAGTCGTCGTCAGCGTAGTCGTAGTCGTAGTCGTGGTCGTGGTCGCTGGTCGTGGTCATGGTGGTCGTGGGGGGTGGTCGTCGTTGTTGTCGCAGTTGTAGTAGCAGCAGCAGTAGTCGAGGTGGTGGCAGTGGTGGTAGTGGTGGTAACGAGAAGAAGCAGCATTTGCATAAGTATTGTTATCATCAGCATCCACGTTACAGCTATTGTTATTGTTCTCATTAGTATCACCATCATCACCATCATTATCAGGCAGATAGACAGACATGCAGACATATGTATGTGTGTATGTATGTAGCAAGGATCGTTCTTTCTTTCGTCCTTTCTTTCTCTTCAAGTCTCTATCGAACGGTTTGCTCCTCTTTCTCAGCTCCCCGCATCCCCTCCAAGCCGTTTGCACCCTTTTTCTGTCCCTTTCAAGCGGTTCGCGCGCCTATCCAAAATTTGTTTTTCTGCGAGTCTCCAATTCTGTCGAGCTTCCAAGCTTCTGGTACCTTGCAAGCGGGGCTTCCTTTGGCTTATTTCCGCCAGGCCGACCTCCGGTCCAAAGGCGCTTCGGCGAAGGTCCAAACTGGGTGCTTCGAGAGAGGGTGTTCTTTGGTCTGGGTTTGTTGGAGCATGGCACAAGTAGCCCCTGTGCTTTACAGAGCTTTCACGAAAGGATTGGACTAGCCGAGTCCTCGAGCCCGTCCAAGCATGATTGGAGCTTTCGGCTCTGCAACTCCCGGAAGGCCAAGGCAGAACGTGGTCGCGACACTTCACGGAGCCTTTGGGTGGATCTGGAAGCACAAAACGGGCTCCAGCTTGCAGGGTTCCGGAGAGTGTGGCAGCGATCCGTCTAGCTTTGGTGTTGGGATGTGTTGGGTTGTTTTGAGAATCCAGGGTTTTTGGCTGACACCAAGCCCCTGCCAAAGGCTGGCCTTTCTGCAATGCCGGCAATGCAATGTCAACCCATACCTCGAACTCACCAGTGCTCTGACAGGAGCGGCAGCAAGCCACGGAGCAGCAGCCGGAAAACGAAGAGGCATTGAGAAAGAAGAAGAGAACGCGAGCCAGAGCATCTGCAAAGCGACCTCTAAGCGGGGTGAACTGTGCGACAACAGGCAACAAGCCCAAGCAGGTGGCCGGCTTTCAAGACTCAAAGAGACTTCGAACAGACAATTTTTCGACGAACGCATTCCGCACTCAAGTTCTGCAGGGGTGGCAACCTGTACGAGTTCACAGATGGCCAGCTTCGAACAGCCCTGCCCCTGCGATGACATTATTTGGAGTAGTCGATGGGTCAGAGAGTCCCGGGTTCCAGGCCTGTGAAGGGCATAACACTTGCTTTGTTTTCGACAGAACAACACCGCGAAGCTGATGACGGAAAGGCGCTACTAGCGATGAGCTGTGCAGTTTCTGGCGCACCGTACTCAGCTGAGACCCCATCGAGTGGCACAGCCAACCTCCCCGCACTTCTCTCAAAAAAACATGCGTCCAACGCAAACCGAAGGAAACCAAATCCACAGAAATGCTTGGGCAAGGTGGGAAAGGTAGTTTCAATCCATGCCAGCAAGCAGTCCTGTCCCTTCTGATGCTTCTTCTGAATGTTCTGGAAACTGATGTGGCTGCTAAAGTGGCCTGGGCTCATGAGTCCACTGTTTTCGCCTTTGGTCTTTCTCATATCAGAGACACAGAACACCTTCAGACTGTTCAAGCCACGGAACGACATGCCGAAGCGTCGCCGAACGGAGACCAGGAACGTTTGCGGGGTCCAGGGCACGGCGGAGTGGCATAAGCGTGATCTGGATGCTTGGCACAACTCGGAGCCAGCTCGCATGAATCTCCCAGCAATTTGCTTTGGTAGGCGGTTTCAGGGCATGAGGCGTGGAGGCCTGGATGCAAAAGGGCATGAGGCGTGGACTTTAGAACTGGGGCTCAGACTTGCTGCATGTGCCAAGCCGGGAGCAACTGCGAACACCTCGCCGATTTGGCATGGAAATCTTCCAGGTGCGAAAGCTCCAGAGCATGGGCATCCGAGTAAAGGACGTCCAGGCGCTGGTTGACGAGGCAAGCTGCTCTGCCTCAGCCCTTAGGCCATCACAGGAGTCCTTGCAGCTTCACTAGCCACTGGTCGATACGATTCGTCATTTTACCGCAGAGCTCCAAGCTCACAATCTGTAGTGACCAGTCAACTGTCCTTGATGTTTCTGCATCTTGCACTGGTCTGTTTTTCGGTGTGTCTTCGCCGCTACCTCGCTTCTCCTGTGGTGTAGAAAATGCTTGGGGGACACATCTCTTCCGATGGACCCACATTCTTACGGGAACTCTTGGTCGGATGAAAGGTTGAGGGTGAACGGGTGGCTTTCAGCGCTACTGGCAGCATGGAGCCTGGCAGATGAACCCCTCGGGAAAGCGAATTCGGCGGCAGAACTCGCGAAGTCGCGGAAAGAGGAGGCCGGACAGAGGGTAACAGCTAACAAAGCTTGCTTGATGGCACATGTCGAGTTGTGGTGTGGTTTCCAAGCGCTTGGATCGAGTAGCACATGTCTCCCAGAAGGCTTCAGGCTGCGAGCACTTCCGCCTTACCAGTAGAAGCGCTCAGGCTTCACGTCGGGTATTCACGAAGGCTCGTCACAAGTAGGATCCTCGAGTCCTCGACTTCCAAGTTCAGGCCGCCAATGTCCCGTGCCGAGCGCGACTTCTTCGCAGACACGCGGGTCGTGAACGAGCTTCTGAGCATGATACCACCCAAAGTATCCAAAGCTTTTGACACTCAGGTGCGAAAGGGCATTTCGGGTCTCATGATCTCAGGTAGATGTGCGTGTGTGTTATCGGCGGTTAACTGCCATCCGAGGGGAGCTTCAGCCCGGTGCTCTACACCATACTTCGGGTCGGGTGGGATCAAGTTGGCATGCACCCTGAGGTTCCTCCGCGAGGAGTACGACGACTGGGACGATGAAGATGAGGCTGTCCGTATAGAACTTGAGAGATCTTGAGAGTGGGACTGCCATTTGATACTGCTGCTGCAGTGTTAGTGTCTCTGGGGTTTCTTTGAGCCTGAGTCCCTTCACTTTAACGATCTGGTCTTGAACGTATGTGGGCATGAGGTTAAGGGAAGTTGCAATGAGTTCCCCAAAGTGCAACCCCGTTCACGCGTCCCAACTTCAAGATTCCGAAGCCCACTTTCCCAAGCCTCCGAGTGCAACATGTCCAAGCTCGGGCAACCAATCAATCACAAAACCTTCTGAAATCAACGCCAAACTCGCAATCACTTGGGAACGTTCCAACTGTCCTCGGATTCTGGATGCTCGGCAAGGATGACTACTTCGATTTCACGATGGATGACGAGCCCTGGGATTCTGTCCCATGGGTGCCTGGGTTAATCGGTCAGTATCTGCGCAAGGGGCTAGAGGGTTTGCGGGTGTACAACCGTGTCAGACTGTTTCGGGGCAGTTCTTCGTTGCAATCTATACAGAGGAGCTTGCGAAGGTTTGGGAATGCAGCCTGGCGAAGGGATTCTGCGCAACTTCCAGCAACGAGTTGCATTTTTTCAGTGAGTACGGAGTGGCCAGTGGCCATAGCAGAGACTAGTTCATTCTGTCAGCTTGAATGGAATTTCCTTCGTCTGGGACCCCAGCGACCCCTGTAGTTGTGCGAGGTTGTTGCTTCGTCATTCCCACACTCGCAATGCAACCTTCAACGGCATAAGCCTTCACACGCCCTCCGTGTCTGTTTCCGCGCTATGAAAATCGCATCCCAAATCCGCACAGGATTCGGAGTTCGACGATTATTTCGCTGACGCCCATGCCGTATACCCAGCAGGGTGGTCGCAGACTTTGGCGGTCAGGTTCGACTGGGTTTGCAGATCAGCGCTTGGGCATGCTGAAATCGACGGGGATATCCATGTTGCATGTCGCCGAGCTGAGACCGAAAGCATGCTATAACCCCGAGCCCGAAGGGAATTGTGTTATTCATCGCGAGACTTGTTGCGCTCAACTTGAAGATTGGGAGCTAATGCCCGTCTACTCGCCCCGCCAAGGAAGAGACGCAGTATCGGCGCAACCCGGTTGGCATCAGTTAACTTTTCATTCATCAGTCGTTTCCCCGGCCGCGATCATATGGAAGCCTCAGTGCCCCGAAGAGAGAATTTCGGGCGGCAAAATCTGGACTCCAAACGCAACGGCCTTCACCCATACAGGCATTACTTACAAATCGCATGATGTCGCTGAGGCGGCTCGCAGGGCCCAGCTGAGAACTACAGCTGCTTGCTCTCATTTACGCTCTAGCATGGCATGTTCGGGCACTTATCGTGTGTCTGTGAGCTGGAGCGGAGACACCATCCTGGGTTGCATTTGGGCATTCGAAGCACCATGAGCTGAAGCATGCTGAAGCCGACTTGAAATAGAGCTTCGGCCAGGCTATTCGGCTCCCGGCCCAGATCCCTGGAACAACCCCGGCGGGTGGACGTACACTTCTGCGGCCTTCCGGCTTGCAGTGCAAGAATCGAAGCAGCTTTCGGGAGCTTGCGATCGGGACCTGCAGCCTTCGGGGAAACTGCTGACGCGGCCCCATGTGCCGGTTTTAGATGGACTTTGCAAGCATGTTTTGATCAAAGATGTGCGCGAAGGAGGCTTTAGCCTCGAATCGGTCTAAATGCTTTCACGCCTCGTGGCATCCGATAGCTTCGAAGGCTAAGGAGGGAAAGGCTCTGGGGCTGGCAAGTGACACACGCGTGCGCAAGCACAAGCGACGTGAACGTGTCCCGAAGGCTTCTCCATGCATTCCTGCTAACGGTTTCGATCTGTTTCCGCCCAGTCTGGCTACAATGGCAGCTACTACCAGTCTGCGAGAAGCCAGTCGACGGGGAGCACATGGCCGAAAGCGCCGACAGTCACCCCGGAGGTGGCCGTCACGCTTGCCAAGTCATGCCCCTTTTTAGAAGCAATGACATGGGGTGTAGGTCTATCCGTCGCCTCATTATTTTTCTCCTATGGGAAAGTACACATTCAGGTACGATCCCAAGCACGATCCCCGAAGAATTCTACTTGGGCTGTAGCTGTCTCTTGTTGCATTGTGACTTGTACTTTTGACATGTACTTGGTAGTGTACTGGTACTTCTGACATGTAGTCGACAGTGTACTTGAAACGTACATTTAGTTAGCTAGGGTCCCGCCATCATAAGTCCTAGTCGTCAAAGAGCGGCTTCGCAACAATGCACAGGAAGCAATGAGTCGCGCTCTCCGAGAAGGATGGAAAGCAGAGGGCATGTCCCGGACACAGGCATATTGGGGCCTGGGGGATGCTCTAGTGGCAACTCAGGTCGGTGACTCTGCGCGAAACCAGGAAATAGGGCTGGTGTCGGAGCTTTCCCTTCTCGAGAAATCACACATCGCCTGGAGCCTTAGAAGTTGAAGCCTAATAAACAATGGGTAGAATAGCGTAGAAGCTAGAACTGCGCGAAACAGAGAACAGGATCGCAGCTCCATGCCGGCTGTGGGTGTAGAAAGGAATGCACTCTGGTGCTCCGAATGACTCTGGTGTCATATTTGCTGGAGGCTCGAGAAAGCTCCCAAAATCAGCGAAACTGTCTGGATGGAGATTGAGGGTGCTTGGTTGTGAGTTGCTTGGAGCGGAAGGCCTGCATGCTGTTGGGCCTCTCGGGGCAACCGATGCCGACGGAAGTGCAGAAGGCCCACTTCGACACGCATGCCGGACTCTGCACTTTAGGTATAGACCATGATCAGTTTCTGTGGGACATAGATAGTGTGGTGTGAAGGTATAAAGGGAGGGCCAGCAGACAGGACCTTCGCCGTTTGCACAGTGAAAGGTGAGACGACAAATGGCTTTGCGATGGCATCCGGTGCCGGGACTTGCCTTGGTGGGTTTCGTTTCGGAGCATAGCAGTTTTCCGGACACCCCCTGCCCTGAAGCATCTCACACTTGGCCGTCCGAAGAGTTTATTCTCCGATCTGTGTGGGTTTGCAAGCTTTGCATTATCGTCCTTCTGTGTCAGTATTCGGACATCCCGCATGACCGACACGTGTGGGCTGAGGACAAGAACCCGGACAACGCCGAAGCACACATGGCTTTCCAGCTGGCCACCTGTGCGAAAGACAGCGCAGGATTCGGTGTGAGTTGAAATCTGGGGAAGCCTGCTTATTCCGAGCCATCCGAAAACTCAGCCGGCAAACCCTTCGAGACCAGAAAAGACACACGTAGCAAGGTGATGGCGGCTGCGGAGAAGCTGAACGCGTGAGCCAGAATGTCGTTTCACTACTCTTCAGACATGGAGTTTCTTACTGTTAGGTCTTGCTACATCTGTGGTGAACCCGGTTACAGTAAAACTTGGCAATCCGGCCGCCTCTGATTCGGAGAGGCGGGGGCCGAGGGGCCGAGGGGGATTCACGGTACAGATAGCTTCGGGAATCTTGCTTGAAAAGATGGGTCGGGGATTTGCAGTCTCTACTGGGCTTGCACACGGTCCTCTTTGTTGGCATCTTGGCAAACCTCCGTTTCACCTTGCGTTAGCCGTGACCAGCGGATTTTAGGTGCGCAGACATGGGAACATTTCGTGGAAAGACGTAATGCTATACCCGAACTGGCTTACCAATTCATCTCAGGTTTAGCCTGGCAATACTTCCAGCACGGGACGTGGACTGTATGAGATGACTTGGGAGAACTGGTTGTCTTGGAGACATATAGGTTTTTGAGTTTGTTTTTGCAGCCGTCTTTAACTTCACGAGTTGTAACACCGACTTTGGCTCCATTAGTCGCCTGCTCGTGTGACGTTTTCCACACTCTTAGTGTGCTGGTAGGTGAGGTAGAGCACATGATGACGGACGCTGGGATGAGCAGTTGCGGGATGAGTCCAAAATCTGACATCTTGCTTTTTGGGCACCTGGACTCAGCTGCCCCATGCCCGATCCTTGGATTGGTAACTGTCGCAAGGGAGTCACGGAATCGCAGCTGTGAAGATAGTTAATTAGTAATTGAGCTTTCGACTCCCCTGACACGTCTTTGGCATGCCTTGATCCCCGAGGCATCTGTCTGGACACGAATTCCAAAGCCAGACTCGGACAGAACAATCGCAAATTCCTGAGCTCAGCGAGCCCAAATCCTAATTTATCTCTGTGGCCTTCAACCCTCAGCCCGAAGCGGGCCGTGTATCCGCTGCTAGTCCGTGCTGCGGTGGGATTGAATTTTGAAGCTGTTTGGGCAGGCTTGGGTGTGGTGGGTGGTTTCTAAGCGTTAAGCAGTAGAATCTCCGTCCGCAGGAGATAATGCCTCAGAGCCAACTATTCAATGCAGCTCTGACTGCAGGCAGCCGCAGCACATGCAACATACCGGCTACAAGCATGTTCCTGCCGCCGCAGCACCCGCACCTACCTGCACCTTAAAATGGAGCGCGTGTTCCTTGAGCCAAGGCGCCAAGGCTCACGGTACGTATCACCTTGGAGCCCATGCCAAGATCCTCGGCATTGCGCGACTAGCTCCGAAACCGAAGAATCCCATATGATCCGCCGAGGCCATGTCTTGTCCGCCTAGAAGATGACTCAAATCCTCGTCCCTCATCAGAAACCATGGCCTGGGCCCCAATGATAAGAACTGCTTGTTTTACAGCAGGCTCAACGTGCAGTGATTGAGAGAGCGATGTCTGCCCAAGAACCTGTCGCAGGATCAGAAACTAAAACACTAACAGTCACTAGCAGTAGCAGCAGCAGTAGCCGCAGTATCTGTAGTAGCCGCAGGAGCAGCAGCAGCGCCTGGCGGCAGCACCAGTGGCAGTAGCAGTAGAGACAGTTGTAGCAGCAAACGTGGCAATAGCATTTTCAGTAACAGCAGCAGCAGCAGCAGCAGGAGCAGGAGCAGGAGCAGGAGTAGCAGCAGCAGAAGAAGCAGCCACAGCAGCAGCAGAAGCAGAAGCAGTAGCATTAGCGGGTAGCGGCAGCAGTAGCAGTGGCAGTAGTAGCCGTAGCCGTAGCGGCAGCGGGAGCCGTGGCCGCAGTGGTAGTGGTAGTGGTAATGGTAGTAGTGGTAATGGTAGTAGTAGTGGTAGTAGTAGTAGTAGTAGTAGTAGTGGCAGCAGCAGCAGCAGTAGTAGTAGTAGTAGCAGCAGCCCCAGCCGTAACCGTAGTCGTAGTCATCGTGGTAGTGGTAGTGGTGGTGGGTAGTTGTAGTGGTAGCGCTGGTGATAGCGGTCCTCGTCCTGTCGTGGTGGTCGTGGTCGTGCACTAGTGGTGCCGGGTGTTGTGGCCGATAATGGGGGGTGATGCTTGTGGCAGAGGTTGTGATAGACATGTCCAGAGGTGTCTTCGTGTCGTAAACCATAGTGCCGGTGATCTTTCGTGCAGAGGTGAGTGCAGTAATCACTTGGTAATAAGGTGGCTGGTCGGCAGATAGTTATGGCTCATGAACTTCGGTGCAAGCTTCACGCTTAAGAGCGCAGTAGCGGAATACTTTGCAGTTGGTCGTCAGGTGGTAGCGCTTCACGAAGAGCGGCCAGGGCCCGTTTGCGGCTGAGTCTCCTTTCGTTAGATTGGCTTGAACGCTTCACGAACAGGCTTCGCCTGCATCAAGTTTAAAAGGACAGCCTTGCCTTGCCGATGTGTTTGAAGCAGACGAACCATCACGTCGAAGGCTCGAAGCTTGAAGTGAAATCCGACACCTTCGCTTAAAGTTCTCCTAAGCTTGGCTGTGAATCTGTCGTCAGATTTGAGGCCACATAAAGATGTCTGAGCACCAAGTGGAAGGCCGGCTTTGATATGCTCATGCTTCGAGACTTTGCTGACACTCTAATGATCGTTTCGGCAACGCTGCAGCAGAGCATGTACAAGCAGGGTCAGGCATGGAGCGCGAATTTCCTGGCCATCTCCTGCTCACCCATCTGGACTGCACACCGTTTTCGATCCATCGGAATGCATCCATATCCTGAACCACATTTTAGCTCGCAGCGCGTCGCGTTGTGCTGACCAAGGCTGCATGATGCCACCAACGCTCTCGCACGTGCTGCAGCTATATTTTAGGGGCCGTAATCGGCAAGTCTTACGTCGAGATTTTTTGCACATAGAACTAAACGAACAATCCCGCCCCAGCAAGCCAACCAAATAATGCCTTAGTCTTAGACCGTTTTCAGATCAGATACACAACTTGGCCCCGCCTCCTTCGTGTTTTTGGTATCCTGTGTGCTAACCGCATCGGGTGTCCTCTGCTTGGTGTCGGGCTAGGCCTAGCATTTGATCCTGGAAGCCAACACACCAAACTCTTAAAACTCGGAAGATTTCAAACCACTCCTCCGAAGCACGATGGTATGGCCTCGCCCGACATGGCTCCATCATCGCCTGGCGCAGCTGCTCCTTGTCGCGGGTAGAGTTTCACGCCCAGCCTGAAGTTCACAGATCGAAGAAGAAAGGTTGGGCCACCAAACGGCCTTCGCCGTCACGCGCTGGGGCCTGGCAGGGAGGGAGCGGAAGGGGAACGTTCTTGGAGCTCATACGGAGGACATTTTCTCCAGGGGAGTATGTGGCCTCAGGAAATCCATGTGAATTAGAACCGGCTTGGGGTGGAAGGTTGCCGATGTGCTATGTGTTACTGTGACCATTTTGACTCTTGAATGTGTTGCTGACGCCGATGTTGTGCACAGGAATTGGCAAGTCGGTGGCGACCCTGCTCGCGCGAGTAGGCAAGATTCTCACAGAGGTTGCGGCAGGTTGCGGGTGCATATGAAGGGTCCTCGCTTCAGTGCATGGATGATGTTCTTGGGCTTTTTCAGCTCTCCAATCCTTCTAAACCTTTGAATGCGAGCCAAGCTCAAGATCTCGGAGGCTCGCGGCCTCAGACTCTTCTAGCCCGGTCGGTAAAGACCACCGGAACAAAACACGTCACACAGCTTCCAAGTGTAAGTCGTTGTTTCAAGCGAACACCAGTTATAAACACGAAGCCTCGAGGCACTCAAAAGATCGCCCTTGGAGCTGTCGCCACCGGGGCGACAGGTCTCACGCTCCATCAATCCACGAAGGCGAGCCGCTTCAAGCCTGGCCTGGAGCTTTTAGGATTTGCGACGATGGGCGCAGGGCAGTAAAGCTGTAAAGGGTTCATGAGCCCGTTCGGACGCTGAATTTCAGGATTGCGGCCTCTTGAGGCCAGTTGACGGTAATTGCAAAACCAAGAAAGACCAACAAGATACTGTACACGGCGACACACACACACACACACACACGCATTCTTCGTCCAACTGCAAGCAAGCAGTGGGCAGGCAGGGCGAACATGGCTTTACATGGGTAGTCGAAGGACCGGCACAGTTTCGGCGGCGACGTGTTGTCTTCGGGCGACGAAGTGGAGTGGATCCTTTGCTAATCGAGCTCGGGGTGTTGGAGGGATGTTTCTCGAAGGACCGGCATTCTGGTTTAGAGGAG